TTACACGTATAAATTGTAAGTATCTGTATTTCCTGTAACTGTATATGTACAGATAAATAGTCATTTATGTAAATATATTATATATGTATATGTATGTATATATAAGTGTGTGTGTGTGTGTACATATATGTATATATATTATATATATATATATATATATATATATATATATATATATATATATATATATATATATATATATATATATATATATATATATATATATATATATATATATATATATATATATATATATATATATATATATATATATCATATATATATATATATATATATATATATATATATAATATATATATATATATATATATATATATATATGTGTGTGTGTGTGTATGTGTGTGTGTGTGTGTGTGTGTGTGTGTGTGTGTGTGTGTGTGTGTGTGTGTGTGTGTGTGTGTGTGTGTGTTATATATATATATATATATATATATAATATATATATATATATATATATATATATATATATATATATACATATATATATATATATATATGCCAGTGTACATGCCACTATCAGTATTCACATGTATATTGATTGCTTAGATGTGTATGTAAGTCTAAATTCCACGATCTATTTAACATCACAAAGTATTTTACGTTCGTGTATTCAAGAAAGTGCGGATAAGACTGCGTTCGTATATGCAAGGATAAGTGCGCGCATGCGTTGACCTCTGCGGTGCACACTCTACACCTGTTTTTTCAGTGTAATAGCTTAATCATACGGTTCCTTCCCTTGAGTTGGTCATCGAATACGTCAGCGAAGGGGATTATGACGGAGTAAGACGAATTCCCCCTGTCATAGTGTTGGCAACAGTGTAATTATCCTATTGTTTCTACCGCCGGCTATTACGTCGCCGTCGGAGCGACCGCCGTGCAAATTCTGGGAAGCGGTCCTCGCGAAAACCGTCGGGCAAAAAGTGGATCTGTCTGGCACGGTGAAATTTCCTGACATTTCGCCTTCTCCTAAGTCCTGCGCTGGTTTAACTTCTAAGAGCTTTGCCTTTGTCCTTCGTCCTCGTTTTCTTTCGTTTCGTTATTTTTTTCATCTTAATTTTCCTTTTCGTTTTTCTTTTCCTCACTATCGTCTTCTATTACTTTGTTAAAACGTTTCCCCTATTCTGCATCTGGTTATCGTTATCATCCTCTCCCTTTCCTAACAAGATTCATCAGTTTTAATATCCAACAAAGTAAAAATATACTACAACACTGGAAGACTTATGAACACCTTATGTTACGTACAGCGTCGTTAAATAAATAAATAAATAAAATAATAGTGGAGAAAAATAGAAACAACAGGAAGAGTCAGCGTGAAAACTTCCCAGTGCGTGTCCTTGTGCGAGTGTTTGTTGCCTGTGTTTGTTCAGGCGCCCGTGTCCACTCGCTGTGTACGTTTAAATGCCCCTACGTACTAAAGTGCCAGAGGAAATGCCAGCGTGTCATTGACAGAATTGTAAGTTTTACTAATAGGCGTGGGTTGCAGTGTTCCCATAGGGCGCAGGGTACAAGTGTCATCCGTGAGAGAAACACGGGTCGGGTGGAGGACGGGAAATGGAGGAGAGAGAGAACAAGAAGAGGAGGAAATGGAGAGGATAGGGAGAAAAAGACGAAGGAAAGGGTAAGGGGAATGAGGAAAAAGGAGATAAAAGAGAACATGAAGAGGGATAATGATAGGAACACGATAAGGGTGAAGAGCAAGAATAGGAGAAGGGAACATAAAAAAGAAGAACGAAATGAAGGAGAAGGAGAAAAAGGATGAAGCACAAGAAAAAGAGTGAAACATAAGAAGGGAGGGATGGAAGGGGGTAGTGGAAGGCCATGACTCACGGAGGACAATGGGACATATCCTGCGAGCGCCGTTTGTCACCCTCTCCGGCAGGACCAAAGGCGGGTGTCACTGCCCGTTCTGCAGGAGGGTTCGGGGCCACCTGCCTGCCCAAGCGCTTGCTTGTTTGAGTGCCTGCTTGGCTTTAGGACTCCCCGACTATTTGCTAGCTTGCCTGCCCGCCTGATTGCTTGCTTCTTGGGCTGTCCGTCTTTCGATTTGTGCGAGTCGACTTGCCCCCTGCCCGTCAGGTGGACAACATGCATGTTTGCCTGTCAGCTTGTATGCCTGTTTGCGTATTTATTTCCCTAATTTGTCTACTTGCTTGTCTGCCTATCTACATACATTCCTTCCTGACTGTCTGCCTTCTTTTCTGCTTGGGTATTTGTATACCTGCTTGTCTGTTTAACTGTATACCTGCTCACTTGTCTGTATAAACGCTTGCTTGTTTGAATGGCCGACTACCTTCCAGGTTGTCTGCATGCTCGACTTCTTGCTTGTTCGTATGGCTGCCGCTCTGCATGTCTGCTTGCCTCTGTTTGCATATCTGCCTACCTACACGTCTGCCTGTCTGTTCTCCTGACTGCCTGTCTTCCTCTCTGCCTGCCTGTTAGTCTACTTACTCGGGTAGCAGGGATCTAAATCCTTCTTGCATTCACGGCATGGCTAGTGTAACACTGCACTTTGTCTTAGCAAATACCTCAACTATTTTCGGTCGTGGTGCTGTTTGTTTTCCTTTGGCGTCTGGTTGCGTATGGGTTGCGCTTGCTCGTGTTCTTCTTTGGTACATTTATACCTCTGACTCTATGTCTGGTTTGTCTGTCTGTATCTGTGTCCGTCTTTCTCTCTCCTCTCTTCTCTCTCTCTCTCTCTCTCTCTCTCTCTCTCTCTCTCTCCTCTCTCTCTCTCTCTCTCTCTCTCTCTCTCTCTCTCTCTCTCTCTCTCTCTCTCTCTCTCTCTCTCTCTCTCTCTCTCTCGTGTAAGTGAGAGTGTATGCGCGAGCGAGCGCGTGTGTGTAGGTAGGTAGGTAGGGAGGTAGGTATGTGTGTTTGTAAATCTGCGAATCTACCTCTCCATCCACCTGTTCTATTCTCCGTGCCTCTGACATCCCCGTTTTCTTACAAATCCGCCCCAAGTTCCTGGTAACGTTTGCCTCGAAGCAAACGCACATGATCCGACCTCCTGGTACAGACACACAAAAACACTTCGCATGGCAGAGTTCCCCAAACGAACCCCCTGCGTTTTCGGGACATGTAAGGCAACACGGTAT